CTCTCTGTAGCCGTTACGTCTCCTCGTTCTCTCTTTAGCCGTTACGTCTCCTCGTTCTCTCTGTAGCCGTTACGTCTCCTCGTTCTCTCTTTAGCCGTTACGTGTCCTCGTTCTCTCTCTAGCCGTTACGTCTCCTCGTTCTAGCCGTTACGTCTCCTCGTTCTCTCTTTAGCCGTTACGTCTCCTCGTTCTCTCTTTAGCCGTTACGTGTCCTCGTTCTCTCTTTAGCCGTTACGTCTCCTCGTTCTCTCTCTAGCCGTTACGTCTCCTCGTTCTAGCCGTTACGTCTCCTCGTTCTCTCTTTAGCCGTTACGTCTCCTCGTTCTCTCTTTAGCCGTTACGTGTCCTCGTTCTCTCTTTAGCCGTTACGTCTCCTCGTTCTCTCTCTAGCCGTTACGTCTCCTCGTTCTCTCTCTAGCCGTTACGTCTCCTCGTTCTCTCTTTAGCCGTTACGTCTCCTCGTTCTCTCTTTAGCCGTTACGTCTCCTCGTTCTCTCTTTAGCCGTTACGTCTCCTCGTTCTCTCTTTAGCCGTTACGTCTCCTCGTTCTCTCTGTAGCCGTTACGTCTCCTCGTTCTCTCTGTAGCCGTTACGTCTCCTCGTTCTCTCTTTAGCCGTTACGTCTCCTCGTTCTCTCTGTAGCCGTTACGTCTCCTCGTTCTCTCTTTAGCCGTTACGTCTCCTCGTTCTCTCTGTAGCCGTTACGTCTCCTCGTTCTCTCTGTAGCCGTTACGTCTCCTCGTTCTCTCTTTAGCCGTTACGTCTCCTCGTTCTCTCTTTAGCCGTTACGTCTCCTCGTTCTCTCTGTAGCCGTTACGTCTCCTCGTTCTCTCTTTAGCCGTTACGTCTCCTCGTTCTCTCTCTAGCCGTTACGTCTCCTCGTTCTCTCTGTAGCCGTTACGTGTCCTCGTTCTCTCTTTAGCCGTTACGTCTCCTCGTTCTCTCTTTAGCCGTTACGTCTCCTCGTTCTCTCTTTAGCCGTTACGTCTCCTCGTTCTCTCTTTAGCCGTTACATCTCCTCGTTCTCTCTTTAGCCGTTACGTCTCCTTGTTCTCTCGTGTCCTTTCTCTTTTGAGCGCTGCTCTCGTGCTTTGGTTTGCTGTACATTATAAATGCAAGTTATTACATTTGTTATAATGCTGCTGAACTTGCTGCTGCTAGCTACAGTACAGGTTGATTAAACGGTTTGCTCGTCAGATGACATGAAAGGGAGCAAGGTCATTGGACAGACAAATTACAAATTAATTTAGGTTGCTTGGTTACTTTGAAGACTGCGTGAACCGGTCAATGCCATTCGGGCCCCCCAAAAAAAATATTTAAAAAATATATGGGGGGGGTGGGGGGGGGGGTTCCCTAGTGGAGCCTCGCAGATGGGAGCCCCCTCAGCACCCCCCCCTTCCCTCGTCCATTCGCGATGTCTCGCTGTCTCGCAGACCCCACGCAGCATTCTCATCTGTTTGTCATTACTGGGGTCATTTCCTGGTTGCTAACAAACGCCATTGTAAAACATAATCACTGATGTTCTGCTGTAACGGTGGTGGACTCATCAGAACAGAGTGGGCGAGCTGACCAATCAGAGCACAGTGGGCTCACAGGGAGGGGGGGGGGCAGGAGCTCCAACAAGCCGTGTAGGACAGAGAGTGAATACACAGACTATACAGAGACGCTGTATGAGAAACCAATGTGAGTTTGGAACATTGAACAATGTACATCTATTCTAGTAGAGCTCAACTATGGAAATATGATCAGTAGAAATGGCCGTGACATGAGAGTTTAAGGTATTTATTATATTTAGATAGATATGTTTATCTCTTTCTTACTCTTTTTTAGAGCTAAACTCTATCAAGTGAACTCATGAAGGTTATAGGAGGCTGAATTCAAGTCAGGGTTTCATTGAGTATTAACTGAGTGTATTAAAGTATTAAAGAGTACTCAGGTGAGTTACCTCAGATCAGAGCTGTGTTCCCTCAGTGTGGTCTGTCAGGCTGTGTTCCCTCAGTGTGGACTGTCAGGCTGTGTTCCCTCAGTACAGTCTGTCAGGCTGTGTTCCCTCAGTGTGGTCTGGCAGGCTGTGTTCCCTGAGTACAGTCTGTCAGGCTGTGTTCCCTCAGTATGGTCTGTCAGGCTGTGTTCCCTCAGTGTGGTCTGTCAGGCTGTGTTCCCTCAGTGTGGTCTGTCAGGCTGTGTTCCCTCAGTGTGGTCTGGCAGGCTGTGTTCCCTCAGTACAGTCTGTCAGGCTGTGTTCCCTCAGTGTGGTCTGTCAGGCTGTGTTCCCTCAGTGTGGTCTGGCAGGCTGTGTTCCCTGAGTACAGTCTGTCAGGCTGTGTTCCCTCAGTATGGTCTGTCAGGCTGTGTTCCCTCAGTGTGGTCTGTCAGGCTGTGTTCCCTCAGTGTGGTCTGGCAGGCTGTGTTCCCTCAGTACAGTCTGTCAGGCTGTGTTCCCTCAGTGTGGACTGTCAGGCTGTGTTCCCTCAGTGTGGTCTGTCAGGCTGTGTTCCCTCATTGTGGTCTGTCAGGCTGTGTTCCCTCAGTGTGGACTGTCAGGCTGTGTTCCCTCAGTACAGTCTGTCAGGCTGTGTTCCCTCAGTGTGGTCTGTCAGGCTGTGTTCCCTCAGTACAGTCTGTCAGGCTGTGTTCCCTCAGTGTGGTCTGTCAGGCTGTGTTCCCTGAGTACAGTCTGTCAGGCTGTGTTCCCTCAGTATCGTCTGTCAGGCTGTGTTCCCTCAGTGTGGTCTGTCAGACTGTGTTCCCTCAGTGTGGACTGTCAGGCTGTGGTTCCCTCAGTACAGTCTGTCAGGCTGTGTTCCCTCAATGTGGTCTGTCAGGCTGTGTTCCCTCAGTACAGTATGTCAGGCTGTGTTCCCTCAGTGTGGTCTGTCAGGCTGTACTTCCCTCAGTATGGTCTGTCAGGCTGTGTTCCCTCAGTACGGTCTGTCAGGCTGTGGTTCTCTGCAGACGCTCGTTAGAGTCGTTGAAGTTGATAATTGAAGCTGACGTGTCTGTAATTAATTAGCGAGGAGGTTAACGAGGCCTCTTCCTCAGGGCTTTTATTGTGAAGGGGCTGGGACCGTTAACATAGAGGAAACTGACAATAACAATAAACTCTTTATACTAAAGAAAGGTGATTTGAACATAGAAACTATTTCAGAAAAGCTTTAAAACGATTGATAATAAGCATCCTTTAAAGTCAGAAGTACTGCACTATTCCACATACTCACTTTATTTTATAACTATTTTTCTTTTTGTATTGCTCTTGCTATCTGTTATGTTGCATTGTTGGAGAAGCCTGTGACATAAGATTTTCAACAACATAATTACTCTGTAGCTATGTCAGTTTGACAATAAAGAACCTTGAGGAGCTCCATCAGCTGGAGTGTGTCTCCCCCTGCTGGACAAACTGCACCACACAACCAAACATTTACATTCAATATGTATGTATAATTAATTATCTGGAGGATTAAACAACTTTAATTAATATTAAATACAAAAATAACCAGAATCTCCAACTTTCTAAGAGAAAATTCACTTTAATAAGAAATAGTAGAAACAAATATCAGCTGATCGGCAGCGACCTGTCATCTAAACCCCTTTAGTGTGTGTGTGTGTGTCAGTGTGTGTGTCAGTGTGTGTGTGTCAGTGTGTGTGTGTGTCAGTGTGTGTGTGTGTCAGTGTGTGTATGTGTCTGTGTGTGTCAGTGTGTGTGTGTGTGTCAGTGTGTGTGTGAGTCAGTGTGTGTGTATGTGTGTGTGTGTATGTGTGTCAGTGTGTGTGTGTCAATGTGTGTGTCTGTGTGTGTGTGTGTCTGTGTGTGTCAGTGTGTGTGTGTGTGTGTGTGTCAAGTGTGTGTGTGAGTCAGTGTGTGTGTATGTGTGTGTCAGTGTGTGTGTGAGTGTGTGTGTGTGTCAGTGTGTGTATGTGTCTGTGTGTGTCAGTGTGTGTGTGTGTGTCAGTGTGTGTATGTGTCTGTGTGTGTCAGTGTGTGTGTGTGTGTGTGTCAAGTGTGTGTGTGAGTCAGTGTGTGTGTATGTCAATGTGTGTGTCTGTGTGTGTGTGTGTGTGTGTGTCAGTGTGTGTGTGAGTCAGTGTGTGTATGTGTGTGTGTATGTGTGTGTGTGTATGTGTGTCAGTGTGTGTGTGAGTCAGTGTGTGTGTGTGTGTGTGTGTGTGTGTCAGTGTGTGTGTTTGTGTGTGTGTTATATAAGTGTGTAATCTGGGACAGTCCTCAGCAGCCGCTGACTTGGGGAACGAGGCTCCTACAAAATAAAGTGTTACATAAACATCAATGAGTGAATAATTAACAAACATTAAAAACTAAATATTAGACTTTTATTTTGAAAGGACACACAAAAAGGAACAGTCATTCACTTTCTGTTTACAGCTGGTGATGCTAGCAGCCGGCTAGCTCGCTGGCTAGCAAAGTTCAATGGCATTTATCATGTGTGTTAGCAACAAGCTAACTGCTGAAATGATGCGTTCAGGGCACGTCGGATAACAAACTCTAATGATTTAAAATCAGCATCAAATATTTACTCCTCGGTTCAAAGGTAAAAATAGTTAGTTATAAAATGTTTGACGTGATCTGAAGGCATCGTCTCTCCCTGGTACACTTACAACAACAACAACAGTTTTAGTGTTAATAACACTCTGGGTAATACAGGCTTTTATTTTGGTTGGTTGAAAAGGAACTAACAGGAAGTGCAACTAGCAGTTTCCACGACAACCTGAAGCTAACAGGCTAATGGCTTCATTCAAAAAGTTTCACTGAGGCATTGTGGGAGATGTGGGCGGGGACAGCAGGAGGTGTGCTGGTTAATGATTGGCTGGTTTAACACTAACTTTATAAAGTGCAGACAGGTAACACACACACAGGTAACACACAGGTAACACACACACAGGTAACACACACACACACAGGTAACACACAGGTAACACACACACAGGTAACACACAGGTAACACACACACAGGTAACACACACACACACACACGTAACACACACAGGTAACACACACACACACAGGTAACACACAGGCAACACACACACAGGTAACACACACGTAACACACACACAGGTAACACACACGTAACACACACACACAGGTCTGTATGATGGTCTAAAGTGCAGTTTCCTGGTTTCCCTGAACCAATCAGTGAGGAGCTCCTGCAGGTATGGGCGGGGCTAAGCTGTGATCTGATTGGTTGATTTGGCCTGTGATGGTGATGACAGACAGTTCTTATGTTTTGATAATTTACTCGTCAGGCCTTGAACGCCTCGCTGGTCTTTGGGGTTAAATAAAGCCCTGATTGAGGACTCTGGACCCCCTGCTCGTCCCTAGTGAAGGTCTGGAGGACTCTGGACCCCCTGCTGGTCCCTGGTGAAGGTCTGGAGGTCTCTGGAGGACTCTGGACCCCCTGCTGGTCCCTGGTGAAGGTCTGGAGGTCTCTGGAGGACTCTGGACCCCCTGCTGGTCCCTGGTGAAGGTCTGGAGGTCTCTGGAGGACTCTGGACCCCCTGCTCGTCCCAAGTGAAGGTCTGGAGGACTCTGGTCCCCCTGCTGGTCCCTGGTGAAGGTCTGGAGGTCTCTGGACCCCCTGCTGGTCCCTGGTAAAGGTCTGGAGGTCTCGGGACCCCCGGCTGGTCCTTGGTGAAGGTCTGGAGGACTCTGGAGGACTCTGGACCCCCTGCTGGTCCCTGGTGGAGGTCTGGAGGACTCTGGACCCCCTGCTGGTCCCTGGTGGAGGTCTGGAGGACTCTGGAGGACTCTGGACCCCCTGCTGGATCCTGGTGAAGAGAACCAGATGATCCGGGTAAGGTTCTGATGGGCAGCAGGTTCCTTGGAGAACCAGATGAGCCGGGTCAGGTTCTGATGGGAAGTGGGTTCCTGGGAGAACCAGATGAGCCGGGTCAGGTTCTGATGGGAAGTGGGTTCCTGGGAGAACCAGATGAGCCGGGTCAGGTTCTGATGGGCAGTGCGTTCCTGGGAGAACCAGATGAGCCGGGTCAGGTTCTGATGGGAAGTGGGTTCCTGGGAGAACCAGATGAGCCGGGTCAGGTTCTGATGGGAAGTGGGTTCCTGGGAGAACCAGATGAGCCGGGTCAGGTTCTGATGGGAAGTGGGTTCCTGGGAGAACCAGATGAGCCGGGTCAGGTTCTGATGGACAGACGTGGAACTCTTTTAAAGTCTTTCAGAAAGACTTAAGGTAATTCAGTGAGGGCGGCTAAAGTGCTAAAGAGCTAACGTGCTAAAGTGCTAAAGAGCTAACGTGCTAAAGAGCTAACGTGCTAAAGTGCTAAAGAGCTAACGTGCTAAAGTGTCTGGTGGTAGAGCGAGGATCTGCAGCGGGTTCCTCAGAGGTTCTCAAATGGTTCTCAGTGGGTCCTCTGGCCCTTGTTGGGTGTGATAATGAACCCAGTTCTCACCAGTAGGGGGCGCTGGTCTCCATGCTGCCACAGCTCTGCCAGAGGAAGACCCCCGCAGAGGTTCTGGGGCTGCCAAACGGGTCAATCTGGTCCCGCTGTTTCTGGTTCTGGATCTGCAGCCCGGGGTTCTCCGTCTCCTGGTTCTCCCCGGGACTTGGGTCCACCAGCCGGTAGTTGTTCCCCTGGTTGTTGTCCCAGAAGGTTCCCTCCGGAGTCTGGTACTGGACGCAGAACTCGACCCGGTCCTCGGGCTGCAGAACCTCCGGTACGCAGACGCAGAAGGAGAAGGTGTTGGTGTCGGGGGAACCGTTACACCTGGTTCAGGTACGAACATGGAACGTCCTGGAAGCAGCGCCAACAGTCGAAGGTGATCCGGGACCCACACGTTCTTCTGGAAGCAGAGGTCTGCACCTGAACGGTTCCCGAGAGCAGGCGCTCCTGCAGAGAACACGTCTCCAGAACCCACCTGCTGGGCCTTCAGACGGTTCCTCAGGTCCAGATAGTCTGCTGCCGGCGGGGGGTGAAGTCCAGAACCAGAGCCGGAGAGAACCGTTCTGCTGAGAGAGGAACAGGAAACAGTCAGGATTCATTTCACTGATTCTAGAGGAGAGAAACAGAACCGTGGTTCTGGAACGAGAATAAAAAACCCTCTCTCAGCTTCAGGTTCTGTTCTCACCTGTCCTGTCTCTCAGCTTCAGGTCCTGGTTCTCACCTGTCCTGTCTCTCAGCTTCAGGTCCTGGTTCTCACCTGTCCTGTCTCTCAGCTTCAGGTCCTGGTTCTCACCTGTCCTGTCTCTCAGCTTCAGGTCCTGGTTCTCACCTGTCCTGTCTCTCAGCTTCAGGTCCTGGTTCTCACCTGTCCTGTCTCTCAGCTTCAGGTCTGGTTCTCACCTGTTCTGTCTCTCAGCTTCAGGTCCTGGTTCTCACCTGTCCTGTCTCTCAGCTTCAAGTTCCTGGTTCTCACCTGTCCTGTCTCTCAGCTTCAGGTCCTGGTTCTCACCTGTCCTGTCTCTCAGCTTCAGGTCCTGGTTCTCACCTGTCCTGTCTCTCAGCTTCAGGTCCTGGTTCTCACCTGTCCTGTCTCTCAGCTTCAGATTCTGGTTCTCACCTGTCCTGTCTCTCAGCTTCAGGTTCTGGTTCTCACCTGTCCTGTCTCTCAGCTTCAGGTCCTGGTTCTCACCTGTCCTGTCTCTCAGCTTCAGGTTCTGGTTCTCACCTGTCCTGTCTCTCAGCTTCAGGTCCTGGTTCTCACCTGTCCTGTCTCTCAGCTTCAGGTTCTGGTTCTCACCTGTCCTGTCTCTCAGCTTCAGGTTCTTGGTTCTCACCTGTCCTGTCTCTCAGCTTCAGGTTCTGGTTCTCACCTGTTCCTGTCTCTCAGCTTCAGGTCCTGGTTCTCACCTGCCTGTCTCTCAGCTTCAGGTTCTGGTTCTCACCTGTCCTGTCTCTCAGCTTCAGGTTCTGGTTCTCACCTGTCCTGGTCTCTCAGCTTCAGGTTCTGGTTCTCACCCTGTCCTGTCTCTCAGCTTCAGGTTCTGGTTCTCACCTGTCCTGTCCTCTCAGCTTCAGGTTCTGGTTCTCACCTGTCCTGTCTCTCAGGTCCAGAGGCCTAGGCTGAAGTCCGAATAGTCCCATTTAGCTCAGGAACCTTCCTAATGACCCGGAGGTCCCTCAGTGGCAGCCATGATAAGTGCCGTTTCTAATTCTCTAAATGAAAGGAAAGGAGGTTTCAAACTTCCTTATAACCTCCTTTAGCTTAGGAACCACTGGACCTCCCTCACCTAAAGGAGAGGAGAACATGCTGACCCACAATGCCTTGCGGCCGCGGCATTTGCCGTCACACAACAGTCGGCCGTTCACGGAAACAACCGATTATGAACGAGAGATGATATCATGAAAGTTACGGTGCTTATTAAGCTTTTTAAAACGTATGTGGTAACTTGCCAAAGTGCTTTGTTTTGAACGTTCATCAGTATTATAATCAAAAAGAGAAATATGAACGTTAGTTTTTACTGAAATGATCAAATAAAGTCAACATTTCACAGTCTTTACTGAGCTGTGTGGGGTTTGTTCAACTTTTAAAAGATGTTTGAATGGTGATATACGTAAGGGATAATGTGCAGCGACTTGGTCATTATGGGGAAAAGAACACCGACAGGCAGATCAGGAGCCCGACGCGAAGCGGAGGGATCTAGATCAGCCTGAAGGTGTTCTTCATAATGACCAAGTCGCTGCACTTTATCCCTTAGTTATTACATGGCCACATTCTCAACAAAGTAACGATATGACTCCCAATATTAATTGAAATGCTTTTATGGATTTAGAAAATGATTTTATTGATTTAAAAAATAGTTGTATGTATTGATTTAAATTGACATGCATCCGCTAAGGAAAATAGTCCGTTGTTACCGTTTGAAAAAAGAAACGTAGCAACGCAACGGCAGGAAGGCGGAGCTTTTTGATTACAGATTTGAAAACATCGTTGCTTGCTTTAAAAGTAGCACACTTCATTATGTCAGACCTTGGGAAGGATCTAGATATCCCTGCCCTAATGCCAAAGGAACTGCACACTGAATATGTGTCGCCGTTTGATGTCTATGTCTGGACCGCTGCGTAAAAAGGAGGGTTTCTGCCCGTTACTTCTCCGCTGTTTTCTTGTCGCTCTTGTCTTGTCAGTTAGAAAAGCAAACTGCATGCAGTTTGCTTTTCAGCCAAACTGTAAACAGTTAAATCGACCGGACTTCTTTCTGCAGATGTGAGCGTCCTTAACAACGGTCAATAAGTCCTTGACAGCGGTCAGTCTGTTCTGGATTAACAACGTGTCACGTGTTCTGAATTGACCAATCAGAATCGAGTATTCAACTAAACCATGTAATAAACAGTGATAGATGTTAAGGACTAACGTTTATAATAAATACATTTGTATTGATTTGAAGATCTTTTCATACAATCATACGTATTGGGATCATTTGTATTAATGTGGACCGGAGGGAGAGGGTGATGAGCATAAGTTTCACTTTCCTTTTTTATTTCAATTCCAACTTTGGTCATGAAGAATATGTTTCTCTGTTGTCCCCGTTCATAAAGCATAACAGCATCAGAGCACGGTGCAGAGTCTCTAGATGAGTTTACAGTAGTCCCTCGTTCTTATTAAACATCCATGTTGTAGTCCGCTGTATAGAAAACTGTAGTTTCCATAGTTTCCCCACAGCAGCAGACGCACATTTATGACGTCCGCTGGCGCATCATAAACACGTCGGATAGTGGAAGTGCAGTCGATTCTCTAAAGTACTGCAGTCTCTTCTCCTAAGTCCTTTTGAATTCTCCTATCCACTATCCCTTAACCCCGTGACCTTTCACTCAGAGGTCATGGGATAGACGATAGGGATAGACGATAGGGATTGACGATAGGAGCTGATTTTTGGATTATTCGACCGCAACCCGGTACTACGAAGCCGGTTCAACCTAACCTGGATATGTTTGAGTTAGCCGGTTGGCCCAATCCAAAACATACGCGCTCTCGCTAAAACTGTCCTACGACGCTGGTTATCAAGTGGATCGCTCAAGCCAGCCGTGTCCTATCTAGTTAGGTGCGCGTTCACATGAAAAGGGGTGGTATCTGGAGCATTCGACCAATTCACAAACATGGACAAGCGTACTGACAGCGCAGCGTCATACTTTCCTGAATGAAAAGTGAACTTTAATATTAGTCAATATGAAGAAGTTAAACTTTAACATCCATGACTTAAACACTTTATCCAGGATCAAAGCCACATAGCTGCACCTGCAAGGTGAATACAGCTGGTAACAGAGAAAGTGTTTGAATGCGTACATTAACAGGTTTATGATATCACTGCCCCGTCTAAGACACGATCTGACTTTAATTACATTTGACTCGAGTGTTTCGTCAACTTAATGTGTTGCTTAAAATAATACTTCTGCATACAGTATGTGACACTGTGAGTGTTGCACGGCCAGATACGGCTCAGCTGACTCAGATAAGGAAATATATGATACATTATGATGTGATATGATATGAATGATAATGGGACACATCGACGTCTGCACTCACAGTGCAGCGGACTGTACTTAATGTTACTCTGATCCGGTTACTTATGTTGTGGCAGATATTTAAGTAAGCTTTCTTAACGCTAATGTTATAATAGTCAGATTGCTCTGAAGATGGGAGGAGGGGATATTCTATTAATGTTCACGTTCACACAGTCAGTTGATTTTTGCCGGCCGTCTTTCCTGCAACGGCAGTTTTTCTGTATTTCCTCTATCCTGTAATATGACTTGATCGCTTTAAACTCTGCACACTGTTGTTATCAGCTGTTCCACCATGGTTGCTACCTCAACCTGTAATAGATGTATCCTTATTGAAACGGTCTCAGGACAAGGATTTAACATGGACAATAAATAAATCAACAGTAGGTGGCGATATATGCTCCAAGTGGAAGCGATTCGCCATTAAAGCAAAGAAGAAGAACTCCGCACAGTTGATCTCTTATCCTGGAACCTATCCTGCTCCGGAGGCTAGCCGTTCAGCATAAGTTATCTAGCCCACTAAAAAGTGAACCAGCGTCGTAGGACCGGAAATCCAGGAAGTTAGCTCGCTAAGCGAAAATCCTGATTTGTAGTACAGGCCCCAGGTTAGCCGCTCAGCATCAGTTACCATGGAGATCTAGCCCGCTAAGAAGAGAACCAGCGTCGTAGGACCGGAAACCCAGAGTTTTCCCTGAAGTTAGCTCAGAGAACATCCGGCTTCGTAGTGCCACCCGCAGTAGGCATCCCCTGCAAAGGTTCCGATGTGTTACACAAACAATTACCGGTTGCCTTGTCACAGACAATCTGTTCGACAAAATTATGTTTGTCTTTCTCACTTGCCTGCTATGATGGTTCTTCAGGACTCTTTCTTGAGCTCTAAATCACACTTTCACAGACTTTTCCGGTGATTCTAAAGTAGATGACAATGTGTGTGTGTCGGTTAAGAGGAAAAGATGCCTGGTTTTTCTTGTTGTTATTACTGTCAGGAAATGTTCAACCTAACCCTGGTCCGCTCAGTAGTAGCAGTCAGATCACTACTCCTGCTGATTTTAAAGCTAGGTCTGGGTTGGGTCTCATCCACTTGAATGTGCGCAGTCTGTTAGGTAAACTAGATTTTGTCCGCATTTGGGCGAGCTCGACTGACACTGACGTCATTGTGTTATCAGAAACATGGCTAAATAAATCTATTTTGGCCTCTGACATATCCTTAAATGGTTATAATGTGTATCGTACCGACCGGCCTAATAAAGGTGGTGGAGTTGCCATTTATGTTAAGAATAAGTTCAGTGTAACCACATTGATCTCCAAATCTGTCAGTAAGCAATTCTAATGTTTAGCCTTAAATATAGAAGTGGCAAAGGGGCAACAAGTCATGGTGGTGGGCTGTTACAGACCCCCCTCAGCTGTCAAGGACTCCTTGTCTTCACTAGCAAAACTTTTATCTCAACTTGACTACAAGGAAATAGTGCTA